CTCAGCTCCCGGGCGAGGGTGGCAAGCGTGCAAGCTGTGCCCTCGCGCGGGCCGCGTGCTCTGTGGCTGTGGCCCACGCCGAGCTCGCCCGACAGCGCCGCGCCCAGCACAGCGCGAGCCCCGGGGCGTCGGGTGCGGCCCCGGGGAGACGCGGCCACACGAGGCCCGGCTGCCGCTTTCCCGGACTTCAGAGGCCGGAGACACGCCCAGGCGCACGGCTTCCCGACCACCTCACGCAGTCCACTCGTCCTCCCTCCTCAGCGGCTTTCCCAGCGAACACCTCAAATCGGAGCCCTCACTTCCCGGACAAACTCCGGGCTGGGCGGGACGCGGCCTGGGCTGAGGGGACAGCCGACCCACGCCGGCTCTCCGCGGCGTCCTCGCACGGCCTCGCCTGACCCTCGCGGCAGGGATGCCGCCCCCAGCGAGGCGAGGCTCCGCTGCTCTCCTCAAACGCGATCAGCCTGGACTCTGCCACCCCCGCTGCGAGGCCCTGCGAGTTCCCCACGGTCCCTGCCTGGGCCTCACACCCACCGGGCACGCGGCGGGCCCACAGCGCGGAGCTGCTGGCTCCTCCCGGCGACAGTGAGCGCGGCCGGCCCCTTGAGCGCCAGCTCCCGCCTGCAGCTCCCGGAGCTGCGGGCCCCCGTGGGCCGAGCGTGCAGCTCGGGAAACGCTGCTGTGTCCCGTTCGCTTTCCACAGTAGAGCCGCATCGGGGGCGCCGAGACACCGCCTCGCCAACGAGAAACCGGGGTCACAGGCTGAGCTGGAGGCTGACGCGCCGCAGGGGTCCCACGCGTCCCAGAAGCCGAGGCCCGAGAGTCGCAGGTGTCACCTCCTCCCCCCAATCAGCAAAGCGACGTCCCTGGGGCTCGCACCGTCGCTGCAAAGCGGGCGCTGCTGGGCTCAGAGACACCACGACGTGACTGAGCTCGAGACTAATCCACTTCCTCCACTTCCCTCGACGGGGCCCGCGTCCACCCCGCGGGCAGGGCGGCCACGGCCTTCTCTTCCTTCACGCGAAGCCACTGACTCCAACGACAGGCAACCCGTGACTCAGACGTTTATTTATTTCTTATTTATTTTTAGATTAATGGGAACTGCATGGATTCTTTCTCGGTCCTTCCAAGAGCAAATGCCTCTTACGCTTGATCCGGAAAGAATCGCGCTTCGGAATGCGCAGTTGCTAATTCACCTAACGGGACACCCTTAACCCTCGCCGCGCGGCCGCGGCCGGGACGGCTTAACCCCCCTCCCAAAGCCCCTCTCTTGGGGCGATGCTTAGGCAAAGCAGACGAGGCGGAGACAGAGGTAAACAAAGTCACTCACCGTGACAGAGGTCGCGAGTCACAGCACGAGTCACCAAACGTTTTGTCGACATCCTTTCCTTCTAAACATCCCTCTGCCGAGGCGGCGCACGGGACGCGCACGGAGGGGACTAGCGTCCAGCGGACGGCCCCGGAGTTGGCGAAGTGTGAATTTACCCGTGTAACTACACTGAGACGGGACAAAGCCTGCAGTGGGAGGGCGCGGGGGTCCTGGGGAAGCTGCCGACCCCGGCTCTCGCGGGCCTGGTGCTGGGCGGCCCGGCTCGACCGCGCGGCGTGCATGTCACAGCTGCCCGGCTGTGCGGGAGCACGGCCAGCCGCAGCTGAGTCCAACCGAGGTTCTGTTGTGTGGGAACAAGTCGGGAAGTGTGGGCGCCAGGGGATATTCAGCGGCTCCAGCTGGGCATCATGTCACTGGGCCTAAAAGGGCCTGAAAGGTACCTCAAGTCCCCAGATCCGGGGGCTCACAGACAGCACAGGCGGCAATCCCCAGGCCGGGGGCGCGACTTGCTGACGCTGCGTGGCACGTCTTTATTTAAACGGGGCCTTCTGAGAGCGTCATTTTATGCAAAAATGACAGTGAGCCTTAAAAGACACACGAGGTGCGTGAGCTTCCGCCTGCAGCGGGGCCGGGGCCAGGGCCGCAGGGAGAGAGACGCCGGCCACGAGGGGCCGCCCCTGAGGCAAAGGAAGGAACTAACTTTGTTCTAAAGTGAGTCAGAGACAACCCCGGCCCCAGCACTGTGTCTGCAAAGGGAGGTTTGGTACAACGTGCATTTTGCAGCGAGGGCCTCTCTTATTTGGGGTTAGGACGCCCGGGAAGACGTAATTAAAGCACAGTCATTTGTGCAAAGTCATAACCACTGTTTTCAGTTCCCAGCGGAGGCCACGCCAGTGGAGTCAGACTGTGGCTCTCCCGAGGGCCTGCTGAGGGGGGTTGACGGCAGTTCTGGGCACAGTGAGCCCTGGACAGAAGGGGACACCTTAGGGCAAGTGCTGTGTGTCCCCCCCCCTCGATCTGCAGAACGTTGGCCGGGAAAGCATGCTCCTCGGTGCGAGCTTCCTGCACTTCTGGTCGCGTCTTAGAGCAAGAGCTAAAGGGAAGATCACGGCTAGGTGAAAAAGCTGCTTCCCTGAGTCCCACTGCGTGCACGGCTGCGTGGCCAGCGCTGAGGCTCGGCCCCCTCCCGCTGTGGGGTCTGTCACTCACGAGGTCCTGCTGCTGGCCAGCTAAGCATAAATCAACTTAAAAATAGGGCTTTAGAAATTAATGTGCGAAGCCTCCTACCCGCACAATCATTTCTGCTTTCGTGACCGTCGCTCCCACAGCGCGGGAGGACGTGGGATCGGAGCAAGCGTGAGTGGGATCGGGCGGAGAAGTATGAAAACAGGGGCACGCAGCTTACACCCTCACGAGAGAGGGAGCCTGGGGTCCCCCGACGAGCAGAGGGAAGGAGAGGCGGCCTCGGCCTTCCCCCAAGTGGCCCAGCAAAGCGTGGACTTGAGCTGTGGGGAGATCCTTAAATCAGGGCCTCTGACTCCCGCCCCAGCTGCTGCCCGAGTGCACAAAGTCCAGTCAGGGCGGGAGTGCAAGCGTGTCCACCCATCCTCCCCACAGTGCAGGGGGCAGCGCGGTGCCTGCCATGCACACCACACACTCCACACCACACACTGCCACACACACTCGCCACACACCTGCCACATACACTCCACACCCCACACCTGCTCCACACCACACACCTGCCACACACACTCACTCCACGCCACACACCTGCCACACACACTCACTACACACCACTCACCACACACACCACACACATTCACACCACACACAAAAACACACACACACCATCCATTGTGATCTGGAAAAACGGATCTTTAAGGCAGACTTAAAATGTGTTTTCCTTTCCATTTTCAAGTTCAGAAAAAAAATGACAAAGTTAAGAAATTTTGTTTGTAAAAACTAGGGTTTTTAAGTCGTAAAGTGTAGTTTTCAGCTGGAACTTGAGGGAAAGCTCAGCTGCCGACCGCCCTCTCACGCCGCTTGTGGCCTGACCTCAGGGGCCTGGGGCTCCAGGGGTGGGGGCCCGGGTGGGAGGCCGAGTCCCCGCCCCGGCTGCGCGGTGAGTGACAAAAGATAGACTCGTTTTCATTTAGCGCTTAAATACTGAAATCAGTAAGAAGAGGCAGGCTTTCTCTTTACAGGAGCCTGTGAGTTGTCACCGCAGAGCACGCACAGGAGCCGGGGCCCTCGGCTGGCGGCGGCCCGACCCCGGGCCAGGCTCCCTCGACGTCCTGCTGGAGTCGGCCCGGGACCGCTCGCTGGATGACTTGCGGAGCTTTACTTTGACCTCAAAATTCCATCACTCCCCGGGCAGGCCAGGGCAGGAGAGCGGAGCAGGGACCAATCGCAAGGGGCCACCTATGGATTCTTCTAAACTGCACATTTAAATAACCGTCACTGTGTAAACGGGGCGGGAGGGACAGGGAAGCCGGGCTTGAGAGCGCCCTGCCCCTGGAGCGCGCCGTGGCCTGCTCTGACTTCCTCAGGCAGCAGGAGAGGAACAGGGGTTTCACCGTGACCCGGTCTGTTCTGATTCCTACGGGAGGTCGCGGCTTCAAGGCCGCGCAGTCAGGTCTCCCGCGGACGGCCTTCCCGCCGCCCAACCCACCAGAAGCGCGGGGAGAGGCAGGAGTGAGTCTTTCCTTGGAGGCCGGCAGCCTGGGCGCCAGGGGCACCTGCAGCGGGGGCGGGTCAGGCCCGTGAGGCCGGAAGCAGGAGTAGGATGAAGGCCTCACACCCCGGGGAGAAAACACTCGCCGCCGGACAAGGAAGGCCTCGAGCCGGCGGGAAACTCAGGCTTCCCTGCCGCGGGCTCACTCCCGACTCTTTCAGAGACATGAGATTTGATGGCTCTGAACGGCTTCTCTGCAGAGACTCCCTCGTCTTTACGAAGGGCACTAGGCAGCTCTATGAGCAGCTTTCAGCTATTCAGCTTAATAAAAGCATGTGAGACACAACTACGGGAAAGAACATAAACGGGGCTTCTGTCCTGCTGAGCTTAGAGCGGGGCCAGCGGCGGAGAGCCGGGCCTGGCACAGGGAAGCAGGGAGATGGCCCGTGGGCCGCAGTCACCCCTTCCCCGACCTGCAAGCGCAGCTGGGCTCACCCTTGAACCACTCTGCCCCCAGCTAGACCCCATCATATACCAGAGGTGCTGGAGTCCCAGGGCCGAGTGACCCGGGCAGCCAGGTCCAGGAGGAGCCGGTGGCCATGCTGGAGCTGGCCCCCCCTGCCCGTCCTGCACTTGTACCTGATGTAATTTCACTGCACATGTGTGCGGGCAAGCAGAGTGCACACATGCGTCTGTGTAAATGGAGGGCAGGTGTGCAAGTGTGTGCCCCTGTGTAGATGTGTGTGGGCCTGCAGGTGTGTGCATGTGCCACTCTCACTCCACTGCAGTCTTCCCAGGCCTGCATTTCCAGAAACCACAAGTCTGGATGGCAGGAGAGGTGGGGATGCCCCTCAGGATTTATTTCCCGCGTAGTGACTGCCTGGAGCTCGGGGCGCAGCGGCGTGCTGCGGTCCTTCCCGGGCCGCGCTGCCCACCGGGGGAGGGCGGTTTCTGGTCGCTTGAGTAAAGTCTGTCTTTCTGACACTTCTTTTCTAGCTTGAGAATTATATCCAGGACAACATGAAGAAGGAGATGGTGGAGATCCAACAGAACGTGGTCCAGAACCAGACGGCGGCCATGATCGAGATAGGGACCAACCTGCTGAACCAGACGGCAGAGCAGACGCGGAAGCTGACAGACGTGGAGGCCCAGGTCAGGGCGACGCGGCGCAGCCCGAGCTGCAGTGCGCAGTCAGCGGGGGGAGGAGGCTACTGACAGCTGGGGGCCCAGACCAAAGGGCGGGGTGTGAAGGAGTAAAGAATGCGTGGCTGGGTGGGGCTCTCACACCAGCTAGTGTGCTTTCACTTGTAACACCGAGGCTGACGTACGTCTACCCCACGCAGCCCCCCCCCCCACCCTCCCCACACCTGACCAGCACAGGTGAACCAGCACAGGTGAACGTCCCGTGGACCCGAGATGTGCATTTGGTTCCAAGTCCGGGACTTGCTGTGCACTTGAGAGATGAAAACAGCGAGCAGAGCGCTGGAAACCTCGTTCTTAAATCTAACTCTCGGATTAAGATAAAACCTGAGCCTCACAGAACTGCTGACAGTCTGCGGTGTGAGCTCACAGACGGAGAGGCCGGTGGAAGGGGGAGAAGCAGCCGGCGCAGCACAGGCCCAGACCCGTCCCGTCCCGGGCGCGATCCCCACTTTACTAGATGCGGCCCTGCCCCCCGGGGCCAACGGCTGACCCCGCCAACCCCGTTAGCTTTATGGTCCTGTAGGCGACAGATTCATAGGAGTGGGGAGAACACAGAAGACGCAAGGATCAAAAGACCAACAGCAAGACACTGGAGCCAAGTCCCCGCAGGGCCATGCCCGGTGACATCGGCAACTCAGCCGCCGTCCAGAGAGGAAAGGGGTGCGGGGGGGGGCGGGGCCGAGCACGGTGAGAGCAGGTCCCTGTGCGCTGCTCCGGCTCCGAGTCCTGGCTCCTTTCTGGGCCAATGAGGTCAGCGTCTCCCACTCTGAGCTGCAGTAACGCTCAAGACACGAGCAGGCGCCATGGTGATGACCCCTGGCACGTCCCTCCTCGTCCTTCTCCCGCAAGGACCCCGAGGCGCAGCCATCAGCCAGGAGAGGACATGGGACACCAAGGCCCGACCGTTGCGAGGCCTCCGTGGTCTCCCTAAGGGCCGTGGGGCGGGGCAGGGCGTGGGAGGAAGACTTGAACGTGAGGACAGGGCTGCCCCGCCAACATTACAGCAGTTTCGGGAAAGCGCGAGCAGCTCGCACACCAGGCGCAGAGACTGCGCCCAGGACGCACCTGCAGCCAGGGAAGAAGACGCATCTGCGTCCAGCGAGGCTGGAGTGAGGCGTCGTGCGCTGGGGGCGGCCGCGCGGCAGACCCAGGATGCCCGACTCGCGTGCTCCGTACTTTGACCTGGACACCGTGGGCAGGCGCGCCCGTGCGGGAGCATCCCGGAAACCAGCCTTTCTTCTCACTTCAGAGAACGCGGTGAAGGGTGAGGCAGAGCCGCGGTGCGAGCCCCCCGCAGACTCTTACGGGGACACTGGACTGAAAACAAGGCCATCGCGAAACGAGGCGTCACGTGGTCGGGAATGACTGGCGAGGAAGGCTGCAGCCAACGAGGGCTGCAGCCAGTGGGAGGGCACAGATGCCCGCTGGCTCCCAGCCCAGGCTGGGCAGTGGCCTGTTGACGCAGCCTGACGAGAGGCAGGACCCCGCCAGGGTGGGGAGCTGAGGACCGGCCACTGGCCCCTGAGAGTGGAGGCGGGACCCCACCCCGTCCTCCCCATGAGTCCAGGGAAGCCCGCACTCGCCAGTTCCTTTTGGCAAGCCCAGCACTGTCCTCACGTCTCACTGCAGAGAAGAGTAGGGTGCATCTGCCCTCCGGTGTCCATCCTGCAACCCCAGCACTATGCTGGCCACTGGGTCCACTCATGCCCACAGCTCTCGGGGCGAGCATGCCTGCATTGCAGCCAGCCCTCCCCGGCCTACAGCTATGGCCAGCCTGCCCCGGCCTGCACTGGGGCCAGCCCGCCCTGGCTTGCAGCTACGGCCAGCCCGCCCCAGCCTGCAGGTGGGCCAGGTCCGGCTGAATGAAATGACACAGCGCCCAGCAAACAATGCTTCTCTCAAGGACCCACTTTCGGGACAATAATTGCAACTTACACATGACATCACGTCCTGAGCGGCCGCGGCACAGAGGATGTGAGTAATGACATTTCCGGCGAGAGGAGGCCAGCAGCGAGGAATGTGTCCGCAGGCCAGGACGCTGGGACAGGACGCCACGCGTGGGGCCAGCGGGCCCTGGCAGCCCTGCCGCTGCGGAGCGGTCTGCTATTGTTTCTGGCTGGCTGCTGCCGATTTCAAAGGAAGAAAAAGGAAGCTGGAAAGGGGGAAGAGGCTGAACAGTGGAGAGGAGCCGGGGATGCCCCAGATGAGCTGAGTTCACGGCCCAGAGGGGCGGCATTGTGTCTCGGCCGGGGGGAAATCTCCTGATTTATCAACAATGCCTGATGCAGTAAAAACGACCATTTTACACTCCCACAGTGTCAAAAGAAGACCATTTGTCCAGAAGTGTTAAGCACTTTTCAAAATAAAGAAATGGTGTGGAAAACACTGAACACACCTTGATGTGACCCAGGACATGAGGCCTTTTCTGAAAATGAAAACAGAGAAGCCGAAATAAGATACTTTATAAATTGGGTTTTAGCCATGCTGTCTTACGTGCTGGATAATTTAATTGAAAGAGAGTTCTAACTAATTAAAAAAGATGATAAACAGGAATTTTATTTTGTTATGTTCAGGTATTAAATCAGACAACAAGACTTGAACTGCAGCTTCTGGAACATTCCCTGTCTACAAACAAACTGGAAAAGCAGATTCTGGACCAGACCAGTGAAATAAACAAGCTACAGGATAAGAACAGGTAATGAAAGCGGGGAAGACGTTTAGCCGCACGCTTTCTAGCTGCCCAGGCCTGGCCCAGGGGGGCGTAATGGGAACCTGGGCTTCCGAGCCGTCCGGGAGCCTGCCTCCCTCTGCCACGGCCGCCAACCTGCCCTCCTCCGGCCCCGGGAGGCGCTCACGGAGTCCAGGCACCGCGCCTGGGCGGCGTGGCGAGGCAGCGACCCTGCAGGCATTCCAACAGAGACTTTGCCGGGTTCTGCCTCTGGGGAATAGGGCGTTTCCAAAGCAAGACGACCTGTGTGTAGAGCGTGTACGCTGTGAGAGACCCCATTTAAAACGTGGGAACGTGAAAACAAGTCTAATATCAAAACTTAAGTAAAGTTAGAGAACCCAGGGAAACCAGCGCCACAGACGCCCACCTGGGCGGCTGCTCCGGGCTCCTCCAGGGCCCTCAGCCACTGTCTGCTCTCCCGGCACGCTGGCTCCTGCCTCGAGGCGGCCCCTGTGTGTGCCATGAAGGACGACAGCTCCCCTCGCCGCTAAGTGCCTCCCCATTCCTCAGCAGAAAGGGCCCACTGCGCTCCTGCCCGCAGTCAGGGTCAGGCCAGCTTCTGGCCTCGGTGCTTGGGGTTACGATGTGCACGGGGACAAGGTGCTTGTGAGGTGTGGCCAGCCCGTCAGGAGGCCTCGCCTGACGCCCGGTCACTTCCTTTTACAAGTTTCCTGGAGAAGAAGGTGCTGGACATGGAGGACAAGCACGTCGTCCAGCTGCAGTCAATCAAGGAAGAGAAGGACCAGCTGCAGGTGCTCGTGTCCAAGCAGAGCTCTGTCATCCAGGAGCTGGAGCGGCAGCTGGTGACCGCCACGGCCAACAACTCCGCGCTGCAGCGGCAGCAGCACGATCTGATGGAGACGGTGCGCAGCCTGCTGACCCTGATGTCCACGCCCAACTGTGAGTGCCGCCATGCGCCCTCCCAGCGGGCCCCTCACAGTCCTGAAGACACCTCATCTCTGGAGGTGTCACATCCCACGAGCAAACCTGCGAGGTCTCAGCAAAGGGGAGCAGGGGTGGGCCGGCCATGGTTGTGCTGATTAATCATTTTGAGGCAAAACACCCCAAACTGCCTTTGGAGTCCGGGTCCGAGGCGTGGCTGGGGTCTGCTCCCACTGGCGGCGGTGTGCGGCTTGCCTCTCACGCGCTGCCTAGGCCCGGTGGGAAGGGCAGGTTAGCCTCCAGGGTGCTGGGCACATGCGGAGAGGTGGCGGCAGCGCCTCGCCCCAGGTGCACCCCCTTCCTTGCTGTTGTGAGCCTTCTCTGAGGTGTGGCGGGGGCGGGTGGTCACTGGTGGGCGAGTGACAGCCGACCCGGAGGTGTTTTCATTTACCATTTTCCTTCACCAAGTCGAGTGCCGCTCTCCCCGCGGTCCAGGCCATGGCGCCTGATGGCTCCTCTGGACGCAGCCGCATCTCACACCAGGGGTCCCGATTCTTACAGAATCGGGCGGTTTCCACTGGTCCAAGGAGCTGAAAAGCGAGGGGCCAGGCCGGCTTCACAGGGCGGCCAGTTTGCATTGGCCCTCGAATACGTTCACCCAGATGACATAGGAGTCACCTGCTTTTCACACTTGCAGAAAAGGAAAAGCCAGTCAGCAGGTGGCATCTGCTGGGACCAGAGAGTGAGGTGTGAGCCCCACAGAGCTGGGCGGGGCCCGCAGCTTGGGTCCTGGGGCAGAGCAGGCTGCGCATCCAGCGTGCCAGCAGGATGGAGCCCGGGCCCCAGCCCCATCATCCAGGTCCTAGACCCGTGCTCTGGTGCTGTGTAGAACGAGAGCTAAAGGGACAGCTCAGGGACATGCACAAACGTGCATGCACACACACACACATGTGCACGGCTTTAAATGCAGTGAAATTAGGCGTGGGAAGGCCACGTGCTGAGAGCGCAACAAAGATGCGGGAGAATCTGGGCCCCGGAGCCCTGACGCCCAAGGGACATGGCCAGGGACATGCCGGCCAGAGCCCGGCTTTGCTTTAACACTCACCACTTTGGGGCAGTGGCGACAGATCCAAAGAATACTAAGTGTCCCCACCCAAACGTCTGCAGGAGATTAGCTCTCGCCCTCAGACACACAGAAAAAAAGGAGAAAGGCACAAGGGCCCTCGGGGCGCGGGGCAGGTGCGGGCTGTTCAGCTGATACGGTGTTTTCAGGACGTTCTTCAAAGCTCTGTGGAAAGACTGCTGATTGTGCTCAAGATGGAAGACGTGGAAACAGTTTACCACAGGGGATTAGGAAGGGCTGGTAACTGGGGATTAACATGGAATGGGCCAAGAGAGGAACTCGGTGGCCGAATCCGAGGAAAGTGGCATCTCCTTCGTAACTTATAAAAAATCAAATGTAGTGAAAACAACGTGCGAAACGTGTCTGTGTCAGTGTAACGTAGCCCCGTGTTCTCGCTCACCCCACGCCTGCCTGTCTGCAGCAGCGAGGAGTGCCCCGGCGGCCGGGGAGGAGCCCAGCACGTTCAGGGACTGCGCCGAGGTCTTCCGGGCTGGCCGCACGGCCAGCGGCACCTACACGCTCACGTTCCCTAACTCCACCGAGGAGGTAAAGGTAAGGGGCTGGCGCCACTCAGGGTGGGGGCTGCGGAGCCCAGGTCACATGCCAGGTCTCCCCCCCACCACTCTCGACCAAAGCACAGACGCAGGAGGGGCCTAGTGCTCCAGGCTCCTCCCTGTGAACAGAGCAGTCAGGGCCTCAGGGACAAGCAGAGCCTGCCAGCGGGGCACCCCATGACAGGGCGTGGGGATGCCCCGTGATTATGGCCCAGTGGGGACGCCCTGGTGATATGGCCCAACGGGGATGCCCCATGATGGGGCCCAGTGGTGACAGAGCTCTGGTGACAGGCTCTGGCGTTTCCTCTCTGGTCGCTCCCGAAGACGAGCCGCTGCTCTGCACGGGCACCGGCCTGTGCTGCTTCAGCGAGGTCAGGAAAGCAACATGCGGCCGCTCTCCGGGCTCACCTTTCCCGGAGACGGCCCCGTGGCCGACTTGACTTCTCTACTCTGCTGGGCTTCTGCACAAGGCAGATGCCGACACAGGCCTGTCACTGCCGGTGGAGCAGCGAGCGCCCCTCCAATGCCATCTCTCTCTGCGCAGCCCAAGGCCCAATTCGCCATCACAGCTCGGCTTTTACCAGCTCTGCTCTTTCTGTTTGTTTTTAATTCGGGCCAAGGGTCAGTGAGAAAATGGGCCGACACCCCGATCGCTGTCCCTGGAGGAGCAGAGAGCACGGAGACCTGACTCTGGGTCCCACGTGAGACGGGCTCGGGGTCCGGTATCAGTGTGAGCATCTGTGCGAGGGCTTCTAGCATCCGAGAACCTGCTGTTCTTGGACCCAGGAGAGATCCCGGGGGCGGGATCGCCTCCCCCCACTGCCCGCCATCCAGGACACAGAACTTGCTCGTGAGTGCCCCCTCGGACCAGCAGTGCCGAAGGGCACGCCTGGGGGCCGGGATGAGCAGGGCGGGTCACTGACCTGACTTCAACTTGGAGCTGCCGGGGCTTCTGGCCCTTTGACAAGAGGATTGAGTTTCTGTTTCTGGCAGTGCAGGGTAGAGGAAAGAAAAATGACAGTCAGGCACGGCAGAGACCCAGCTGAGTGCCGCCCACCCTGCTGAAGGCGAGCACCCGGCTCCCTGGGGTGGCCTCCAGCAGCCGCAGTGTCAGGCGGAGCGGCTGGGGGTGGGGGCTGGCGCAGGAGGCAGTGCAGCCGGGAGCACATCGCGACACAAAGACACACAGTCACATCAACGCAGAGAAAAGGGCTTAACTTGGTGGGTCAGGGTTGTGTGTTGGACATCGCTTTTCTATTAATAACTGTGTTTCCTTTAATGGAGAATTTACTGCCAAACCTGGGCCTCACTAGGGGGAGAACGTGGCCCAAGTGGCCGCCGTCGGGGAGACAGGGTGGCTGGCGAGGCCCGCCCAGGACGCAGGGGTCTGCAGGGGGCTGTTGCCAAGGAGACGCCAGGCCCAGGCCAGCTTCGCTGTGACCTTTGTGGTCCCCCGGCGCTGTGTGGCGGCCAGCGCAGGCTGGTTCACGTTTAAACTCGCCCTGCCGCGGTCCTCTCCATTCGTCCCCGAATGGCCGCGGGAAACAACCCAGGAAGGGTATTTCTAAGTGGACCTGAACCTTCACTCGAGCATTTCCTACCTTGTGTGCTGTAGGGGAATTTACTTTCTGGACAACGCTTTCGTTCTACTATAATCTCATTATTTAAAACTATTTATGTAATCTTATTTTCAGGAGTTTCTAATTTCATAATAAAACTCCAGCTGAGTGGAAATTGAACATGCATGCTCTTAGCCCAAGAGAGAATTCTGTGCTCTGAGCTGAGCTTAAACCCACTAAACTGGTCTCAAAGCAGAAACAGCGTCCGGCAGAGGAAGGCCAGGCCAGGGGAGGGGGGGCTGAGCCGCACCTGTGAGCAGGCAGCTGGGCCCGGCGATGGTCAGGCCAGCTCATGGGGACATGAGGGGTCCAGGGCCCCCTCACTGTGGCACTGCCACCAGGAACCTGTCTCGGTCACCGGGGGTGCCTGGCAGCCTCACGTGCAACAGGACAGCGTGGACACCCTGTAGGGCTCGGGGCCTCCACGGCTGTGGCCTCAAGTCCATGGTGCCCATGGGTGGGGGAGCTTCCGGGTCCCCGTGAGCTGGGCCCACGGATCTCTGAGGACAGCGGTCCTGGGCCAGCTGCGGGTGGGGGTGCAACCCAGGCAGCAGCGTGCGGGACAGCCCCGCTTCATCCGATCACTGTATTTTACTACTGTCGATTTTCCATCCTCATGTCAAATGCCTGGTTTTCAACTTTTTTGAAGCCATGTGTTTCCCGGAAGACCCCTAAAGACTTTGCTAGAACCTGGCGTCTTGGGCCCCCTCCACGGCAGGCCAGCCCCGCGCCCTGTTCTGGCGTGGTGACCGTGCGTGTCCCTTGCAGGCCTTCTGCGACATGGAGACGGGCGGTGGCGGCTGGACGGTCATCCAGCGGCGGGAGGACGGCAGCGTGGACTTCCAGAGGACTTGGAAAGAGTATAAAGCGGTAGGAATGATCTCATCATCTGAAGAGCCGATTCTTCGTGAAAACTAACCTTCCCCGCGATCCCAGAGCTAATCAGTTCTTCACAATTTTTGGAACCAAAGCCTCCTTCACACGGGCGTTCCGGCCTCCGCGTTCAGGGTGGCCTGGGCGGGGCGGGGCAGGCCCCGCGGGGCGGGTCCCCAGGACGGCAGGGCGGACCGGCCCTGAGCCAGCTGCGCCTCAGCTTCCGTCCAGCTCCTGTTCCCACCGTGTGCCGATGGGTCCAACACTGATTTTCTTCCAGCAAAAGCTGAGTTTTCCCAAACTGACCTATTAAAAAACCACTTTCTTGTATGAGAGGCCCCCAAACTTCCCAGTACAGGAAGGAATTTCTGCTGTTGTTCTTGCCAAATTGGACTAGTGGTTGCAAATATAATGAAAATAAGGCGACCGAGGTCACTGACCGCCGCACTTGGTTCCAGGGCTTCGGGAACCCGGCGGGCGAGCACTGGCTGGGCAACGAGTTCGTGTCGCAGGTGACCAGCCGGCAGCGCTACGTGCTCAGGATCCAGCTGAAGGACTGGGAGGGGGGCGAGGCGTACGGGCTGTACGAGCACTTCTCCCTGGCCGGAGAGGAGCTCAACTACAGGTAGGCCGACGCCAGGTGCCGAGCCGCGGGGACGGCTGGTGGCGCGGGGGTGCGGGGGAGGGTGGCCAGGAGGTGCGGACGGCGCGGCTGGCGGCTCTGAGCAGCCTGATGCGCATGGGGACTGGGGCCGGCCTCCCGGTGCTGTCTCCATCGCTGGGCGGGGCGCGTCCCCTTGGGCGACAGCCACACCGGGAGACCAGGCACTGGACTGTGGTGCTGTGCCGGCCACGCGTCCTCCGTGCCCAGGGCATGGTGCCTGCCTATGGGACCTGGGCTGCTGCGGGCCCCTGTGGCAGCAGGTGGGGCTGACTGCCCCTGTGGCCATGGGGTCTCCTCTGGGGCCTTTGCCAGGCCCACTTCCTTGTGCTTCCAGCACATTTAGCTCCTGGCGTGCCCTGAAGTCGGGATGAGGGCAGGTGGCGGGGAGTGGCGTAGGGTGGGGGAGAGCCGGTCTCCTGCCTGCCTGGTGCTGCAGCACAGTCCCCCAGGTTACTGGTGGCCCCACCCACGTGGCGACGAAAGTCTGGAAGCTTCCCAGGACAGCCTGGGCAGGGCGTCCCACTGGAGCACAGGCAGACCCGCACCAGGACCCCCACGGAAGGCACCTACGCCAAAGATGTGGCTGGAGAGGGTGCGGGTGGTGGGGCCGAGGCGCTGTCGGGGGTCAGGTGCACAGACACACCAGCAGCAGCTTCTCTGAGTCAGCGGGGAGCAAGCAACGTTCATGGGACTCACAGCCATGGCCACGCTCGGGCGGGCCTGCCGCCCCTCCAGACACCAACCCGCCAGCTCTGACCCGCCCCGGCCCTGAAGCTGCTTCTGCAGGGACAGTGCGGGGAGCAGGCTGCAAGTGGGGCCCCCAAGCAGCGCTTCCATGTCGTAAATGTGGATCTCAATCCAGAAGCACATTCTGGAAACAGCCTTCAGCCAGCAGAGACGTGAATTTTAAAAGCCAGGCAGCAGGGCCCGTGGGCTCTGGTGGTCGAGAGCGGTGGGGGAGGGAGGCGCACGCAGGGGGCCTCGGCTCGGCTCGGCGGCCCCCCGGGAGCCTGGAGCCCTCCCTGGTGCTTTCTAGACACCGGTGCTTAGTCACTGCGTTACCTCCAAGCTAAATATTTTTGCAACTGGCAACAGTTAGGAGTCCACAAGAGAGGAATTAGGAAAATTAAAAAAAAGGACAAAAATTAAGGATTAGATTGTTTATACAGGAAGATTTTATAAAACGGGTCATTGCCCTTGTGTGCTGACATTATAGAAATATTTTAAACTGAGATGGTTCTTAACAGATAGCTCCTTTAAAATGCAATCAATTTTCAGATATGCCATTTAAAGAAACACACTAGTTTAAAGCTCAGCTTAATTTACTCCACATACCTGAAGCAGAAGACCGGGGCCTTTTCTAGTTACATAAAAGCACTGACCCAACGTCCAGCCTTTTCATGAACGGGCTATTCTTAATAACCAAGAGGCCGCACCGCAGCAGCAGCCAAGGCCACGCAGCCTCTGTGAGGGGCGACTGCAGAGCAGCAGTGGACCCGGGGTGCTCCCTATAGGGAGGGCTAGTGAGTCCCCCAGAACTGACATCGTTTGAGGCATACAGTGGGGAGGCGGCTGCCCCCAGCCCCCCGTGGTCCATGGGAAGGGCTGGGAGGGAAGGGCCGTGTTCTGAGGTCCTGGGACGTGCTGACCCTGCAGCAGGGGTCAGAGGCCGGGCTCCCGGCGGCCAGCTCTCAAGCACAGGTCAACCCTGACACCCAGCCAGGCCTCACAAGGGCATTACTAGGGCCAGTATATTAAAATAAAGCTTTGAAATCCATGTCGTTGACACAAAATGACAGGGTGACGCCTCAGGGAGCGCCGCCTTCTCACAGCACATGTGCGGTAGGGCGGGCACCGGGGGCAGGAGGACCCAAAGGGCAGCGGAGGGGCCTGAGTGAAGCAGCATGGACCACCCACGGCCGCACCTGCAGTGCTCCCGCTACTCCTCCGTGGCACGTGGGCAGCTGTGGGGCCTCGGAGCAGGCAGCCGAGAGAGCCCCTGTGCCCCTGCTCTCTCCTTGGGTCCCGGCGAGGATTCTGGGGGGGACAGTCCTGCTGGGGGGTGGCGAGCAAGGTGAGAGGGCGTCACACAGGCCCGGGAGCTTCAGGGACAGCTCTCCCTCGGGCCTGTGGGGTTTCCCTTTCGTGGGTCTGGGGACGGGCATTGTGTCCCCCCCCAATTCTGCACGGCCAGACCCCTCTGGAGAGGCCGCTGTGTGCTCGGTCACCTGGCCTGGGGCGGCCTGTGCCACGTCTACCCTCGTGGGGGCACACACCTGGGCGCAGCCGGGTCGCCGGGAACACTGCAGCACGGCGCCAGCAGGCTCTTGGCCTGTCCGTGGCTCCGCAGGCTGACGCCCCCTGCAGGAGCGAGGCCGAGTGGCCGGGGTTTCTTCCCTGCAGCTCTGTGGCTCCCTCCCCCAACTGCAACGGCCACCCCGTGCTGCCTGCTGCCTGCCCCACCCCCACCGCCCACCCAGAATGACAACGTTTGAAGCTGTCCAGTCCCCAGGGGCTCTTACTTCAGATGGACGGAGGCTGGAGGCCTGGGGAGAGGACCCCCTCAGCCGTAGCCCCCTTCTGTTTATCTGAAAGCAGCAGGAACATAAACTCCAGGGCCCTGAAGCCCCTGCTGATGCTTGTGCAAGTGATACGCGTCGAAGGTTTCATGAAAACATTCCTCTTCGCCTGAGGATTTGATGATAAGTTGGTTCCTGTTTACACCAGGGCAGCATTTCCCCGGCGTGTGCGCGCGTGCGTCACCCTGGCCAGAACGTGGCCTGCAGAATGGAATTCCTCGAGAGGAGAGATTCCACCAGGTAACCACCAGCCCAAGCAGTCACGCTCTTCTGTTCTTCTTTGCTCACTTACAGGATTTACCTGAAAGGCCTCACAGGGACGGCGGGCAAGATAAGCAGCATCAGCCAGCCGGGGAGCGGCTTCAGCACCAAGGACGCGGACAACGACAAGTGCATCTGCAAGTGCTCCCAGATGCTCACCGGAGGTGGGTGCGCGGCCCCTGGGCCAGCCAGGGCGGTTTTTCCAGAGCGACAGGCGCTGTATAGGTTGGGGACAGAGTTCCCTGTTCAGGAGCAGGCATGGAGAAGGCCAGGCCGCAGGCCAGCCCTGTGTCTCTCCGCCCCACCCCAGCAAGCAGAGGCCTGGGAGCCTTCAGGGGGTGCTGGGCCTGGGCTCGCTAGGGATCGGAGGTAGGAGAGACGGTTTCACTGCATTTTTCCTTATTGAAATGGTTAAAAAGTCAAAATAACTGAAACAGATTCATGACTCTAGAAATGTGCCCAGTGAATAATTTATTGTTCACACCAGGACTTTCTGGCGATTTTTTTGAGGACTTGACTAATATGTAGCAAAACACTGACAAACACAAAGAAACTGATTAACCAACCTGCTGTTTTCATGCCTCAAACTGAGATGAATGATTGTCCACTTTAAAGAGGACCTTTCTGCTCCCTTGTTTCTACCTCCCGTGTCAGAGAGCTAAAAAAAAAAAAAAAAGGCACCGGAAACGAAGGCCCGTAAGCAACTGTTCTCCCCGAAACTCCAGGATGGCAGCAAGCGGTTGTAGTTTAACGGTTGTTAAACTCGTTCCTCTGATTCTTAAAAGTTTACAGGCGAGTAACAAGCACCAGTCAGTGACGACCGAGGCCAGACAAAGCCTGACAAATGCTGTCAATTTAGCGCCTGAGAAACAGGGAAGACGGAACTCAGCAGCGTCAGCAGCTGCCGACCGCGCGGCTGGGCGCGGGCGTGGGGGCAGCAGGGCCGGGCGCGGAGGCCGAGGGGCCCAGGCCCGGCTCCCGCCCACCGGGAAACCGGGGTGAGTGGTGGACGGCGCTGCTCAGACCAGGAGGGGCCGAAGCGGCTGAGCCCGCACATGCGTCAGGAACAGCTGACGGCCCGGAGGCTTTATTTACGACAACCTGAAACTCAGTGACTCCCATGCCTGCGACGCGGAGCTGGGCGCCGCGCAGACAGAGCCAGGCCCGCGCCGCTTTAGACTACCTGGCACGCGGCTGTCTCAAATCGATTATTTCCACAGCGGAAAGTGTACGTCCCTGTTGGAAAAGCTGCCTGTCCTCTCTTCCTTCTGTACGATTCCCTTGAAAGACAATGGAAGTGGGGAGGGCAGGTGGGGGCACCACAAGGGACCCCGTTCCCTGTCTCCATTCCCACGAGGACCCAGGCCGGCTGGGGAGGGCGGCTGGCCGCCCGCCACTCACGGAGCGGAAGGCACGTATGGCCAGAGAGACACGCTCCATCTGAGGCTCGGGCTGAGGGCGGGAGGGAATGTGGAGCAGACCCCACGGTGGGGCGCGCAGTCAGCGGGCTGGCTGTGTGGACGCTCCCTTCCGGCCTCGACTTGGACCATGGGCTCCAGAGTGACAGTCTGGGGGCCTGGAGGCCCTGGGACGCTGGCGGGCTCTGACAGTCCCCAAGTGTCCTGTCCACTGAATCCCCCTCATTACCTCCATTGCCATTAGGGACCTCAGACTGGACGAACGCTGGGGAGCAGGCCCAGGCTGCCCCCGAGGTGACCAAGGCCACTCACGCAGCTGACGCGTGCCCCAGTGTGAGCTGTGCTGGCGGCCCGCGCCCCAGACGCCCAGCGCCCGTCCCGGCTCAGCTCGGCGAGAGCTGCTCACTGTACTCTTGCCTTTAGTCTCCAGCACTTCGGAGGGCTGCATTCCGGACCAAAGAGGGTTTGGGAGTGGACAGGCACAGCCAGGGAGAACCCAGTCCCGGTGTGGCCGGGACGCAGCCGCCCTTTCCACCGCGGGTGCTCGCTGCCTCGGGGCTGGGAGCCTCAGGCCCAGCGGGGGCGGTGGAGGGCAGGTGAGCGGCAGGCACGGCACGGTGGCGAGGCCCGGTCACTGTGCCCAGAGCACACTGCGGTCAGGGTGGGCCAGGCCAGCCGAGGGGGCCGCCGTGTCTGGGCTCGGCTGCCCGCTCCTAACGCCTGTCTTGCTTTCACAGGCTGGTGGTTTGACGCCTGCGGCCCGTCCAACCTGAACGGCATGTACTACCCGCAGCGGCAGAACACAAACAAGTTCAACGGCATCAAGTGGTACTACTGGAAGGGGTCCGGCTACTCGCTCAAAGCCACCGCCATGATGATCCGGCCCGCCGACTTCTGAGCGCCCTGGACGCGCCGTTCCTCAGACGGAGGCCGTGCTGCCCCTCACCCCGTGGACAGCGGGCCCCGTGCCCAGGACCCCTGCCCCCTCCGCCCCAACGCACAAGCTGGAGCAGCTGCGCCTGGCGGGGCCCCGGGGCGCGGCAGGGTGTGGAAGACGCAGCAGGCGGGCAGCGCAGACGGGCGCCACAGCCAACCACAGTGCACACAACTGGAACGCACACCTGGGCACGCAGGCCGGCGTCTCGCCCAGGCCTCTGGCACCGCCTGCAGGGCGCCGAAGGCCCATGCGCCCTGTCACGGCCGAGGGAGGAACACGCTCCCCGCCACAGAGGCCCGCCCTGCGGTCAGGATTCTGAGCAAAAGACTCGCAGTGGTTCCCTGTTTGGAGAAGGAAAAGCGCAGCGAACGTGTTTCTGCTCCTCTTAGGTGCTGCCGACTTTTTGTGAAAACAGCATATTTGCAGATGGTGACAGCTTAGTTTTAAGTTAATGCTCAAATATATAATTCAAGTTTAGGCCATGAAATCCTCCAGGGTCTCTGGAATCATGAATAGAAGCGAGGGTTCTTTCCGTCTCTAGGGAGATTGTACTATTTTTTTTCTGTCTGACTGTTAAATATAAAGGTATTTTTAGTAATTAAAGATAACTTATTAGGTGAGATGCTGCATGTAACTCCTACGATGATATTTGCAATGTTGCAATGTGTTTGCAAAGCCACCAACTGTGCCTTATGACAAGGAAAAGTTTTACTTTTAATGATAAAAAATATACATTTAATTTCATGACAAAGAGACTTAGTATCTTCTCCTCATGATTCTAACCCGGGTTTTTTTCCCCAGTCTTGAGAGAGGCATTTAGAGAAGGTTTAACCGGCGTGCAGTCGGGAAGACCCTTCGATGACGGCACTCACAGGCTCTGCTCGCTGTGCCCGGCCTGCAGGTGGCGGCCTGTGGTGTAGGCCCTGATTGGCACGTCCACCAGCAGACCCAGTGCAAACCCCACATTAAATGTTTACAGTGAGCAAGTGTGGGCTGGAGTTCAGGGCTACAAGGCCTTAGAATCTGAGCCCTGAGCTCCTTGGGGGGGGGGGGGCGGGTCCTGCAGCATGCTGGCACCACGAACACTGCACACCTGTACCTGTATACCTGCACACCTGGGCACACAGGCCCTGTGTCAGGGGCCACGTCTCTGCCCTTGCTATTCGGGTAGCTGCTCGGAGCTGTGAGCCTGACCTGCGCCGGCGGGCCCGTGGTCATCCTCATCTCACACCATCTCCCCTACTCCCCTGGCTCCTACACCCTCATCTATCTCCCAGCTTGTGTCCCAGGCCCTTAGGGAAGAGGCGGATCTGTGCCCTCCACCGCCCCACAGCTGTAGACCCAGCCGAGCAGAAGCCACTGGCCAAGAAGGAGGCCTTGTCCTCCTGCAGCTGTGTCCGGGTCTCCGCACCACAGGGCGGGAAGGCCTGGCCACAGCACTGGTGTCACAGCCCCTGAAGGCCAGTGGGTGACCGTCAGGCCAGTCTCAGGCGGTAGCAGGGCCTTCCCGTCACACGTCACCCAGACACGGCGCCTCGCAGGGTCCCCCTGAGAGCAAGTTTTCTGTCCTTTAGAAAAACATCTACAAAGCTATGGGAAATAGAACATTTCCTGAGAAAGGGATGGAGGCTGCGGGCAGTGAGGCCCACCAGAGGCGCAGTGGGCCCCCCGCAGCCGCTAGGTGCTGACAGCAGGACAGACGCGGCCGTCAGGCGTGGCTGAAGCCCGAGGCCCACACGCGCTCCCGACAGAACACACAGACCGCCGCTCACTGAGAGGCTGGCACTGCCCAGCAGTCCCGGTGCCCGCGGGCCCCACGGCGAGGACCCCATGCCTGCGGGCCCACCCGGGACCCCCGTTCGCCACCCCAGCTTCACATTCTCAGGCATCCAGGCTCCTCTCACTGGTGTTTTCCTCAACCCCGGGACTTCTGGAGTTAAATGTCTTGGGACGGGCGCCCTTCCCACTGTTAGAACATTCTCGGCCGCACCTCTGTCCTCACAAGTAAACAGATGACAAACACTCAGCTCCGCAAAGACGGCATTTACCACAGACATAATTCCTCTTTATCTGTTCTAATAATGATTTCCTGAGAATGCCAAACTGCATTTTCTACTTAAAAAAAAAAAAGAAAAGAAAACAAAGACCAGACTCACAGGAGCTGCGGGGAAGTGGCTGGCCAGTTCGAAGGGCTCCTCGGGAATCCAGCGGCCCAGCTCCAGCGACCACAGCACCTGCGGGGACACAGCAGACGCTCAGGAAGATGCGCCGGTGGACACAACCCCCTTAGGAGACGCGAGATGAAAGCAAACTGAAAGCCCAGTAACCCCCAGCCCATGGGGCAGACGCACGCAGGGAGCAGCAGGGCCAGGGTCTGCGCCTCGGGACCCCGGGGCATGGGGCGGGGTCGCGAGAGCAGGTCAGGAAGGTGCCTCCTGACGGCGGGAACCTGGGCTGTCCGCTGGAGCCCACACACGAAACCCACCCGTTCCGCTTCTCTCGTTTCCCTACTGTGCTGTTTTCAGGGAGGCAACGATGGCTCACACCACCTCACAGGACTCGGGGTGCAGGTTCACAGCCTGCAGGTGCATGTCCCACGCCGCACCAGCCACCAGGGCCCCCACTGGGGGTCCCTTTACCACCCGCCCACCCCCCGCCCCCCACCCCAGCAACCTGGTGCCTCAGCCGTGCAGATTTCAAGGGTTTGCTTGGTTTGCTTCAGCCTACTCCTTTATTTTGTTCCTCTGCCCTCCTTGTATGAGAGAAATCACCCGGCATTTCTCTCTCTGATTATCTGCCTTAGGATTATCTCCTCCAGCCCCACGACGTTGTTGCCAACGGCCGGGTTTCACCTGTCATTTTCCGGGAGCTGAGCAGCGTGGGCCCCAGCCACCCGAGCCCGGGCGCGCAGGCTGCTCCCGTCCGTGGTGTTGTGAATGAACCTGGGAGGGCGGGTGTCCCTTCGCGGACAGACACCCAGGCAGGGCTGCGGGCTCACGTGGCAGACCCACGCGTAACGTGGGGAGAAGCCTCCACCCTGGCTGAGCAGGGGCTGGGCCCGCCGGCACCGCCACCGCGCACGGCTCCTTCCCACACCCCCCCAGCGCTGTGGCCTCCGGCCCTCTGCCATGGCCTCCTCCCCGGTGAGGCCGTCTCACGCGCTGGGACTTGCGTTTCCCGGTATCGGTAAGCGATGGTGAGATTTCGTCACGTGCCTTTGGCCGCCTGCACGTCTCCTTTGAAGGAGCGTCTAAGCTCTTCTGCCCGTATTTAAATCGCCTTCTTTTCATGAGTTACGTGAGTTCTCTGAGAATCCTGGAATCAGCCCCTGGCTGGAGAGACGGTGGCGACTATTTCTCCCGCACACGGGGTGTCTTGGGTGGATGGTTTCTTTGGCTGTGCAGACGCTTCCTCGTTTGATGTGGTCCCATTTGTTTACTCCTGCTCTTGTTTCCCCTGCTCTTGGAGTTCCCAAAAATATCCCCGAAGCCAACGCCTCTGTCAACACCACCCATTTCTAAACATTTTAAAATCCACATCTCCAGTAAAGGAATCATGACCGACAATCCCCAGTAAATACTCTGGGAGTTTATTAATTAGAAACACGAAGTAGGAGATGTTAGGCATGACCCAAATTCCAAAGCGACCGTCCTGGCACGTGACCTTGCTCCTGTGGGCAGCGGATAGTTTCAGGCGAGCTTCTCCATCACATACGTGACAATCCCCGCCGGACGTGGGAAGGAGACCATGTGCCACGAACCAGCTTTCATTACCATGAATATGATCATCCTTGGGCCACTGGAGCCACCCATTCTGAAATGATCAAAATAATGTCTTCCCTTGTCATTCAATAATGGTTGAGATCCTGCAGCCACCTCTAAGGCCAAACTCCCCGAACATCTGTTTTTCCACACCAGCACAATTTTACAGCTAAATCAAGCGGATTTAGATGACACTATCCTTCACCTGCGACCTCACCCCTTACATCAGTGCCTGCCCCCTCTTCCCGGAGTCCCACACAGAGCAGAGTCCCGGGAGAGGAGGTCTAAGCCCCGCCGCCGCCCGCAGTCACAGCCACCAGGGACTGCCAGTTTCAAACATTTCCTTCCCATCACCTCCTACTGCCAGGGCTTCCCCATCACGAGACCACGGTCTTGTTTTGATGAGCATTATGGACAATAAAGTGAAGAACAGGACACGGAGTTGAATGGGTGACTGCTCTCTGTTCTGGCCTGGGTCTTGTTGTAGCAGGTGCATTTATTTATTCAACTGGCTCTGCTCTCTGCTGCTCACCTGCGGACACTTCCTCGAACCTATCACGGTTAAGGGCTCACAGCCGGCCCTGGGAACCAAACCCCGCCCCAGAGGTGGCCTCTGGGGCAGGGGTTGAGGGCAAACCACAGCCGTCTCCCAGTGGCTGTGGGGCCTCGGAGGAAGCAAACCCTCCCTCCAGGAGGCTGAGACGGCGCGGGCGGAAACGCGTGTGAAGAACAGCATCGGACATAAGGAAGACGCGAAGTCACCGGTGCTGACACGCTCATCTTCCCTCCTCACGGCGACACAGACGATGGGTTCAAGGACAACGCATGGTGCTTTCGAAGCTACTCAGCAGCTGGACGATGGGAACTTGCTTAGAAGGCCAGAGAAAGTTCAGACGTGTCCAGAGAAGGAAAAGTCAAACTGTTCACTGCACAGATTCCCAGAAAGGCAGAAAGTGAGGGCAGGAGATGCCTCTGAAAATGGGAATTAGAACAGAGTGAAAGGAGCGTCTCCTACCCCAGCCCACGATCCAATGCAATAAAACCAGAAGTGCTGCTGCCGGGCAGAGGTCGGTGCTAACAGGCTAAGCCAGCACCTTCCCAGCATGGAGTCCTCCCCCAGGCCTGAGCCCCGCCCCCCAGTCTTCCCCCAGGCCGGACCCCCCCCCCCCCACCCAGGGCAGAGCCCCTCCCAGAACAGAACGGGCCAGCCACAGTCCCCGGGCAAAGCCGCCGTCAGACCCGCCCCCGGGCTCACAGGGCTGCTGGGCTTCCCAGGGCTGCGTCATGGAGGTGCTGGTGACCCACAGCAAGAGCTGCTGGCATGAACACGCACACAAACCACACAGAGGGGACCCTGGGAGCGGGGGTGGGGCCTCTGCGCAGCGCTGGGAGTCGAGGCTTCAGCCTCCAGGGCCTGGCGGGGCACTCCGACGAAAATAACCGGATTGGGAGATGACCCGTTGCAGAGACAGACTTGAGAGAAGGGACTGGACACTTTCAGAGGTCTCCGTGTGAACTGGCCACGAGTACAGAAAAAGCTCAGCCGCCAAGTCACTTCCAATAATCAGCTCAGGAAAAACGAAGAAAAAGTCCCAGCAACGAAATGGAATCACCACATGTGACACCCAGCAGGGGTGTGTGTGTGAGTGTGTGTGAGAGAGAGCACGGCGTGTTCACACACACCCAGATGTCGCGGCAGCATCAGAGGGAGCAGGGAAAGACGAGCAGCCCCAGAGCCAGAGCAGCAAAGGTTGCAGCGGGAAAAATCAAAAGTGACAGCAGCACCTGGGTCTGGTTTCCAGACGTTTAAGTCACCACAGGAATAAAAACATAGAAACAAACAAAATTTTCTGGAAAGAGAACGCCTGAGCCCCGGAGCGGGTGCCGGTCCCTATCCTCGCCCGAGCTGCGTCCCGGGGCCCATGCCCGAGGGCCCGGCCACAGGGCCCTCTTGGCAGCAGCTTCCACGGCTCAGTCCGGAGATGCCCTGCGTGACGGCCGGCGACAGCGGCCTGGAGTGCCAGCTGCCGGCACTTAGCAAGTTGCTAGCATTTACTCGGCGTTCCCTGGCACTTTGTTTAGATGCTTTAGGTCATCCTTGGATCCTTTCACAGATGAGGAAACTGAGGCTGAGAGAGGTTAAGTGCCTTCGTGGAGACCACAGAGTCGGCAAGTAGCGAGGTTGGCGTCAACACCCACGCTTTAACCCACGACTCTTTTAAAAACACCTAGAGCGGGCGATGAAGGTGTCCGCTTAAGTAGAAGGAGATCCGGGCGACGCCAGGTCATCTCCACAGGTAGATGCCAATCAGGCACCCGAACCCCAAATTCCCCGCTTTTGAGCTCCATGACTGTGAGCAACTGTTAGAGCCTGTTTCCACAAAGACGGCGGTGAGCAGGGCCGAGGCCACAGCCAGTGCTGAGCGTCACCCCGGCCTCGCAGGTCCCTCCTGGGCACGGGCCGGGAAGCAGCACTGTGCCCGAGGTGCCCACCCGCCGGCCTCCTGCTCGGACAGACTAGGACCAGGACCGGCCGCTCCAGCGGGGAGGGCGGCAGAGAAGAGGCTGGAGCCAGCTCCGCTGAGTCATAACCTGCATCCTAACGAGCATCTCGGGTGGAGCCCGGATTGCTAAGGTTGAAAAGGCGCTGCTCGGCAGGAAAGGCCACGCTGACCCCGCTCACCGAGACGGAGCAGGAGACAGAGCGCGACGCTAAGTGGTCATGAACGCGGCTCCGTTTTGGAGAGAGATGAACTGACAGACATTAGATACCATTCTGGGGAGGAAGAGGCGCTGTGAACTGATATTTGCTTGAATTTTCTTACAGAAAAGCTCGGCTGCTTGCGTCCTGCCCAGCCGCCCGTCTCCAGAAATGCACGGGCCGGTCTGGCCAGCTCCGCGTCTCCGTCCCACGCCTGAGCTGCCCCCCGCGTCCCCACGGAGCCCAGAAGCAAGAGCCAAGCATCTTTATAAATAACAGACTCGTACTTTTCTTATCAAAACGAAAACAAAGAAATAAATATAACACATTCCAATGTAACTGAAGAGCAGAACATCACTTTGCGCTAAGAAAACAGCCGCGATGCCAGCGCCCGTCCTGGCAAGAGCCGGTATCAGGGCCGCCGAGCGCGCTCGCGGTTTTCTGTTCTACGAGTTGGAGTGAAAAGGTGATTTTTCTTAAAGCACCAGCAGGTCATCTTCTGTCAACGATTTTAATGGGAAACACATGAACTCCGCAGAGACGCCTGTAATTTATGATCGCGGACAAGGCTCTAACCTGACACTCCTGGCTCTGCAGAGGCGAGAGGAAATGCTGAGACCCTGAAAAGCAGAGATGTGTGTTTTGTCACCGTCTTCGCTCACTCATCAAGCAAGGAGGCCGTGAGCCTCGGCCTGGCCTGGGCCCCACAGTGCAGGGGGTGGTCTCTGGCCTGCAAGCCCAGGCGCCCCTGAAGGCTGGGATGACCAGGTGT